TTTAGGATTTAGGGTTGAGGGTTTTTGGCTTCTGGGTAAGGGGTGTGCGGCAGTTTACGGTTTAGGGTTCAGGCTTCAGAGTGTCAGGTTTAGGATTTAGGACTGCATGTTTTGTGTTCTTGTAAAGAGGTTTGCTGAGGCTGAGGGCCTAGGACAGTTTCGGATTTTCGGGTCCAGGCTTTGCAGAGTAGGGATGCGGGAGTTCACTCTTTCGGGCTGCCAACCCTTAATGTAGACAACACCCCAAACCCCAAAACTCTAAAGCACTCATGTCCTAAAGCCCCAAACCCGAAGCGCTAATCCTTAAGACCCAACCCTACTCCCTGAAGCTCTCAACCTTTGAATCCTAAAGCCCACACCCTCAAATCCCAATGCCCGAACCCCTAAAACCATAAAGCCCTTGAGCGACCTAGAGCCCCGCAAATGCGACGCCGGCGATACACCAACAACGCCTTCCTAGGGCTTTAAAGGACCCTCAGGAAACCGCTACAGGGCACGAAATAGACTCAAAATCCTAAAAAGCCTTGCATACCACCCAAAAGCCCTAAAGCCCTAACCCTGTCCAAAACCCTTATAAACTCCCTACACTATTGTATTGTGCTACAAGTATATATCATTTTCAATTATATCATGATAGAGACCTTAAAAACCTGCCGGCAGGTGGAGCTGCCAGGGGCACCTCCCGCCGGCGCCTGCAGAGTCAGCTCCAGGCACGGCTCCAGAACGCCTCCCGGCCAAGAGCAGGGAAGGGGACTTTTGGGGTCTAGCTTGGTGCGCTATGAGTATCACTAGCAGAACTACTAGTACTTGTGCTATTACCATTACTGTTGGTATTCCTATTACTAAAAGAGTACGTGACTCTGATGATGATGATGATGATGATTATCACTAGTATTCATATTATTCATATTATTTTATAACGATTCGTTGCACGATCCTTACTTACAATGTTTATCAGCAGTAAGAATACTTACATTTTATCGCTATCATGGTTATTTCTTCAAAAGGGTGAGTAGCCATCCTGCCGCCAGCCGTCGTCGCAGAGGTGATAAAAGCCGCAGTAAAAAACCTTAAACCCCAAACCCTAAACCCCGCACCCGGAACCCTAAACCCTAAACAGAGACAACCAAGACTGCCCGTTCCAAGGGCGGCGATTTCACGGCTGAGGACTCTGAGCAGCCAAGGATTTAAGGTTTAGAGACATTGGGTTTCGGATTTGGTGGCGGGAGGACTACGACCTCCTACTCCAATTGGACGAGAGCTCCAGCAGTGGTGCGGCAAGGGCAGAGGCCAGAGATCACGTTTTGCCGTGGTCCTAGGGTTCTTCAAGTGCGTAGGGTGGTAGGCACGCGCATGAGGACTCCATGAGAAGCCCTGGAGGAGAAGTGTCTCCAGCAAAGTCTCGTCGCAGCGCTTCCTCTGTCGAAAGTGGCTGCGGGCAGCACCATTGCTCAGTGCATGATCTGCACCTCTCCAGCAGTCAGCGGTCGTCTTCTGGCTTTGTGAGTCCTTTCTGTGTCTAGTTCGTGGACCGTCGAGACAGTCGCAACATCGGGGAGGGTCCTGAGTTCGGAGTATCCGGGATCAACATTGGCCTAATTCGTGACAGGATTTTCTTTGCAAGGACTGACCACTTGGGGGAAAGTCGACAGCTGATTCCGGCCAGTCTGCTGTGTTTCCAGGCCTCGAAAACATGGAGGTCGGAGCCAAGATACGAACTCTCCCTTGCATGCCGCTTGGCCCAAGAGAGTGTGCGAGAGATGGTGTTTTTGCTCGTTGTTGGTGGAGCCTCGATCACTTGAAACCTTGAAAACTTTGAGGCACGTTTTTCACCGCAAATGCATAGATCGATGGCTGTGCGAACCCGGGCGTAAACCTCGGTGTCCGATCGATCAGGTGGGCTCCGTTGTCTGCATTTCTTTGGGTATGCGTGTTACGGAAATGGTTTCCAGATGTGCTGCCACTTCTGATGCGGATCTGCCATCCCATGCCCAAATCCTCAATCCCTCAAACCCGAATAAAATACGGAAAAATATAACACCATGTAATGTACCATAGTATAATATGAATGTATCATAGTATAATATGGTATACTACGACATTAGAGTCTCAACCCCGAGCCGCCAGGTCGAAGTGCGGTTGGCCCCGGGCTGATTCGCACGGGGAAGGGGCGGTTTCAGAGCCATCCTTCGCGGTGCGAGGAAAAAGGTTCGGCGTGCTTGCTGCCCGGTCCGGGGGTACATTGACATGTCATACCTTGCAATGTACATACGACTATCTAAGCGTGCATGTCTGTATGTGTGCATGGCATGTACGCATGTACGCAACATCGATGCTTCGGGCCGTCAGGTTGTGAAAGATGAGAGAAGCAACAGACCTGCCCTGCCACAAGCGGGAGCTTCTTGACCCACTGAATCGGGGTGTGGGTGTGTACATAGCATGGCTCCAGGATCTATCGCCTTGTCCGTGCGGCCTCGCGGCATCGCCGGCTTTAGAAAAATGTTGCTCTGTCCAAGTCTAGGCATCGGTCAATGGCGCTTATCACAGCAGGAACCTAGGATCACATCGCTGTGTGACCCGCTCAGTTGAGCAGGTGTTGAAATTTCCTGAGCTTTGATTGTCTGATTTCGGCCCACGTGCAGCTTTTCCCTTAGGGTAGTCGTGATATTCACATGCACCGAAGCCCGAGATAGGTCCGGCAATGTGATCCGGCAGTTCGACAGCGAACTTCGAAGGACCGTGACGAAGCATCAAGCAAAGCAAGCAGAGTGGATGCCACAGCGCTAGGAGCTGCACCTGACAAGAAGAACCACCTTAGATGACTTCCCAGCAACTGCTGCCCACGCTGAGAAGTGAGTAACAAGCAGTGTGCTCTGCCTGTTTTATGCATCCGCCTGCCGTGACGGTCAGGACAAGGATCGGCACCAGGGCTGGGTTAAGGCTACGGTAGGAATTCGAGAAATGTAGTGAGGGCTGCAGACTGCAATACCTGCCGTAACATCATCTCAGTGGGCATGCCTGTTGTTGAAGTTTTCCAGGCACGAGGAGGCATTTGATGAAGGTCTGCCTGGGCTGCTTGTGCTAGAAGTGGTTGTCGTGTCATCATCGACTTTAAACCTGACAGCCATAGGCTGAGGCCTATGCTGGTTATCTCATGGCCGAAGGCGATTTCCGTCCCGGTCCCTTGCCCACCTCAACGAAGCATGCCTCGAGACGAAAGGTCATGCCTGCGGACACGGCAGATGAAGCAGTGCAGCCAGGCTGCAAGGTCTGTTCTATGCAGGGTAGTTTAGTCTTGGAGTTTGATTCTGGGTAACCCTGAGCCATAGCTGCCGCCTTTGGCTTTCTGACGGTGACAGGGAGGAAAAGAACCGACAAAACAAAAATGCGGCATCTGAGACGTACATTGTTTCATTGCTTTCTGCCCCTCAGAGTGAGGCATTTCGTCATGCCGTCAGAGAGTCAGGCAAATCTCCGCAAGACTGGTGTGGCGATTTTTGCACATTTGGGATCGCCGTTCAGGAGTCCTTTTCATAAGGATCCTATGGACTCTGTCGTGTTCCCCTGTTCTGCAATGCCATTGCGTGCATGTGCAACTTGTTAAATGGGAAGGTGGTCGCATTCGGTGGCAAAGGATGAGGGGTTGTTGGGGTTCAGGGCAAGATGCCGATGAATATTCTTCGGCTTATTGTTTCTTGTCAGGTCCTTGCTGCAATATGATAACTTGATATACAAGTACATGAGTTGATACATGTCTTCAGTTCATGGAGACAAGGGTACGACTCGCTTGTCTGCGGTGCCGCAGACATGCTGACTCCTGAACCCGAAATTCTAATCCTAAATCCAACACTCGAACCCTTGACTTGACTCTAAAACCTAATCCCAAGACCCCAATCAGACCCAAAAAGCCCAAGCCCAAAATCATCCCAAGCTCATAGACCAGAAGAACCCTGCGAGCCACAGGCCAGAGACATCCCCGAAGGATATTTTCAAGAAGGTGAGGCGGTAGTCTACCACAGTCGCACGCACCACGGGCCCTTTGGCCTCTGATTGGATGTTCTGTATTCGTTTAGTGTTTAGGGTTTAGGGGTTTAGGGATTGTGTGTAGGATTGTGGTTGGTCGGCTTGGGGTCCAGGGGCTTAGGTTTGCCGTTTGGGGGGATTTTTGTTCCAGGGCTTTAGAGGTTCAGGTCTACCTTAAAATGCTATACCCTACTTTTCTGTAGGTCCTTACTATAAGCCCTAACATGGACTTGATAGGAACCCTACCAAAAAGTAGGTTTTGGAGGTTAAGGTAGAGTCTAAGTCGTAGAGCCAGAACATGAAAGTTTCCGCAAGCTGAGAGTCTTCGCATGCGTTTTTACCACAGGTCCCTGTGGGAATAAGGGTCCTACTACGCGGATCTAGAAGGAATGTCCCAAATCCTGCGAAAGAACAATCGAACACATATTGATACATGCAGAGATAGTTGTCAACGAACTTAACAAACATGAATGCATGAATGAGTTCATACCTGATTGTTAGCATTGTATACACACAACAGACCTGTATAAGCAGCAACGTGAGACAAAGTGATAGGGTCAGCTCGAATGGAACAATGCTTGGATGATGCTATCTATCTATCGATCTACCTATGTCTTGATAAATGTTATCATCATCACATGGACCTATAAGCATGGGCGGTTCTAGTCTCGTATGGACGGTTCTCTGCTGCTGCTATGTATCATCATGAGGTGGGGTGGGAGGCGGTGACGAGGTAGGGGTCTTTGCTTATCCGATAAGCGGTGAATACGCCTAGGTTGGATACGCCTTGGATAAGCTAGGGATAAGCATAGCATAAGCCTCTATTCTGCACTTGTTCGTGGCTTATCCTGGGCTTATCAACCCTCAACCCGGACCCCTAAACCCTAAACCCTTGGGTAAGCCTGACAATCAGGTTCCTGAGGACCCGGATCGCCAAAGTCCACGCGGTGGGTGGCGTTGTCCAAGCAATCGACCTTGCCTGTAAGAAGAGGCCGGTAATGTAAGGGCCTTTAGTGTTTAGGGTGGGTCTGGAGTATAAGTATACTAGAGCCTGCTTGAAAAAATGTTCGAATCATCCAGACCCTATCTTACACAGAGAAAGTCCGGGTTTTGAGTTTTAGGGCTGCAGGTATCAAGAAACTGCAATAGCGAAATTGCCACCAAGTTGAAGATTCCTGATCAAGGAACCTCTTGACAGTTGATAGATGATTCCGGGCGAAAGGCTATAGGAAGGCAAGGAAAGGAGGTTTCAGGGATCTTTCAGGGTTCAGCGGTGAGGGGCAGTTAGAGCTGCTTCGGGTCGTGGAATCTGCATGCGCCTCCCCCTCCACCCAGAACCCCAGTATCCTTCACACCCTTGCAAACCCGGGCAATATAGCAATTTTGCTCGTAAATGGCCATACAACAACCTAGAAAACGCTTCGTTCTTGAGCTAGCTCGGCTCCCTGACCCAGTGCCGATTTGGCCAAGATCGCCAAGATCCAATCCGGCAGCTCGGATGCAATGTCAATGCTGCGCGGCCCAAGGCTGTGCATACCCTTGTCCTGGCTGTAAGGTTTAGGAGTTTACGGTTTGAAGGTTTACGATAGGGGCATTGGCATTTGAAGCTTGTCCGTCTTGCCGGATATAGGCAGTCTTGTTTGGCTCACTCTGCGTGGTGTCTCCGACTTGTGAGTGAATTTGCTTCGAGGTGAAGTCGTCGACAGCGTTGAAGCAGACAATGTTTCACGCAAGCACAGAGGAAATGCACCTTGGTGGTCATTACTGGCGTTGTGCAAAAGCCTCTGCGTGCATACGTGCACAGATATGTCTGTGTCTGTATGTGAACATTGGGTGTCATGAATATGGCATGTCCTTTACCATGCAACTCCGCTCAGTTCTGTTGTTCCATTCAGTTATACCATGTTGTACTAGGTACAATACTGTGATATGCGATGGTATCTTGTTGATTTCATGTTGTTTCATCCTGTCACTCGTATATACTGCTATAAATACTATTGCGTGCAGTATCACGGTATGCTGGGTTGCATTTAATCACATTTCGTCGCGGTATATGTGATACCATATTGGCTCCCCCTGTGTCATGGAGCCGAAGGAGAGAGAGCGAGAGAGAGAGAGAGAGAGAGAGAGAGGGTTTGGCCCGCCCGAGGGTGGGCGGGCTAAAGGCCTGAGGGTCGAGAGATCGACCCCTACGCCCCGCAGAAAGAAGGAGAGAGAGAGAGAGAGAGACAGAGAGAGAGAGAGAGAGAGAAAGTGGTGGATACAACCTAGTCCGTGTGGTTTTCACACCCCAGCCCACGTGCCCCACGCAAATGGGGGGCCTAAGTGGCCGGGCTTTCGGCGCAGGGGGCTTGAGACGCTCCTTATACCCCGGAGAACAGAACAGAACAGATCAGGTATGTCAAGGTATATATGTATGTATGTATGTATGTATGTATGTATGTATGTATGTATGTATGTGTATGTACGTATGTATGCATGCATGCATGTATGCATGTATGCATGTATGCACGTATGCATGTATGTACGTACGTATGTATGTATGTGTGTGTGTGTATGTATGTATGTATGTATGTATGTATGTATGTATGTATGCATGTATGTATGTATATATACATATATATGTATGTATGTATGAATGTATGTATTTACATATATATATATATACGGATATACATATACATATACATATACATACACATCTACATATACATCTACATACACATATACATATACATATACATATACATATACATATACATATACATACATACATAAGCAGGAAGATGCTGTTGCGCGCCCGTACACATACACATACACATGCACATGTACATGCACATTACGCATACATGCGTGCATTTGTTGATAAACAGATAGGTAGATTGTTAATAAACACATAGGTAGACAGGTAGATAGGTAGAGAGAGAGAGATGCACACAGACATATATATATATACACACATAAATATATATATATATATATACATACATACATACATACATACATGCATACATACATACATACATACATACATATATATATATATATATGTATGAGCAGATGGTCCTGCGTAGCCGTGCCAGTCCCCCCCTGCCACCCCTTTCCGCATGGTATGCACCCACCCCCCCCACCCCCCTATTTCATCCGAGCAAACAGTCGCAGCGATGGTGCTCGTCCGCGTCATCATCCTCGTAAGTGTCGACGTTCTTTTGTGAGAATCATGGCGATGATGCTGAGGATAATGTCGATGATGTGCTTCTTGCATGCTGGTATTCCGAGTGTGGCTGGTGGTAGCGCCATTGCTCTTTTGTTGTTCTGCCCTTAGGTACCGCATGTTATTTGCTTTTATGTGTTTCAAAAGCTTGTTTGGCCTGATGTTCTGTCCTAGATTGTCGTAGTTTGTATCGACCGTTGTCATTCTATGCTCAGTTTCAATTGCACGAGACCGGAGCAGCGTTTGGACAGAGATCATGATCACCATCTTGGAGGGAGGGACAGGGCGGGAACCCACACCTCCGGAAACCACAGGGCGGGGGATACCATGGGGTGGGGTAGCAGCGCTGCATCATATCTGCTACACCCCCGATGTACCTACCTGTTTGACCTGTTTATACCACTGGTGTGTGTGTCTGCAGAACTTCATGTGCACCATATTTACATGTATGTCAGCATGTTTGTATGTATGTCTGTAGTAAGAAGGTATGTATGTATGCATGGATGTATGTATGTATGTATGTATGTATGTATGTATGTATGTAAGGCTCAGCAGCAGGGTGCCCCTGTTCTGGGTTTTGGTGTGTGTTTTCGGTGCTCCTTCTGTTCGGCCGGTTCTCTTTGGCTTGGGGCTGGGCTCTTGCCTGTTGCTTGTTGTTCGTGGTCGGGATTCCGTTTCAACTCTGCGCTGCAATGGTACTGCACACGTTCAAAGACCCATTCACGAGCACGAGCCGGGCGAACAAAATCTCGGAGAGTCACGAGGCAAAAGGCCGCAGCCTAAGCTCTCAGCCCTTGCCTTTGCAGTGGCCTCAACATTCTGCTTGTTCGACGGGGATGCTCTTCGACAGGTTCGGTCGAGCTATTAGCCATGCCGCCGTCTGTTGCCTACTGGTGCTCTGCTTGCATCAGGACCTATGTTCGCTCACACTCACCTCAGGCCTGCTCCTGGAAACCAGCGGCCTGGTGCAACATGCGACATCATCCGACCCGTGTGCCTCCCTGCAACCACCAGGTTCGATAGCAGCTCAGGGGAGTCTTCTTACCGACATTGTGCCTGACAGGATCCGTCTACAGTCGTTGGTCAAGAGTCAGATTCAGTTGCATTCCCATCTGGATGCAATGCCCACAGCCGGCCGCTGGCTGTCAAACTCTACGTTCTCGACCACGGGCAATCCCTATGCATTTCCTGATAGGCAGCCCGCATGCAACCTGTCTCTCCCCACAGGGCTTGCTCCCTGCCCCCTCCTTGCAGGCCGTATGGAACCGTGGCAGCCCTGGAGACCATGGACTAGCCCGCTGCACTTGCCCAGCTCGGTAAAAGCCTATGACACTCTTGTCGTGCACTTGTCCGGCAGGCTCTCGGTGCGTACCATGTTTGTGCCCAAGTTCCAGCCCGCCTCAGCAGCACTGGCTCTTCCATATGCACACTGTACCGTAGACTGTGGACTTCATCCTTCCGCCTCCACGCCTCGCCGGCACCTCAGCCGCGACCATCCGGTGCCTGTGAATGCAACTGCCTGGCTCAGGCTGGAGGTGTCCTCGCCTGGAGCTCAGCCTACCTTGCCAGTCCCTCTGCCTCATTGCACTCTGCGAGCCGGCGCTCGGCTTCAGGTCCATGTGGCAGCTCCGGCTGCGCCACCCACCTCTTGGTCACGTCCTTGGCCGCTCTGCCTCCTGAGTGCACACGCCCATGTCTTCTGTGTGCCGTTAGCCTTCACTACTGCACTGCACAGCAGCTATTGTGAGCTCAAAGGCAATCTGCTACGCACCAGGTGCTTTCGCCCATGGCTCCTCGAAAGCGGCCGGCGACTTCCTCTACCGCCCGCGGCCCTAAGGCAAAGGCGAAGACAGAGCCAGGACCGTCGTCCCTCTCTTCAGGCTCCTCGCCCTCTGCTGCTCCGCGCCCAGCGGCTTCGGCTTCGGCTTCGGACGGCCTCCCGGATCCCGACAGCGCCGAGCTTGATGAGATCTCAGCCCGATTCTGGGCAGATTCCTCGAATGAGGCGGCGGATGCAGATGCTTCTCCTCGTACGACAGCGGGCACAGGCTCAGCTTCCGGGGTGCGCAACGGCCCTCCGCCACCCATGCCGGTCAACAGGCCTGCTGCTACGGCTCTGGCTCCGACTGCTGCACCCATTGCAGCGGCCCCTTACATGGTGGGAGGGCGTGCCTTGCCGCAGCCCCCTGGCTGGAGCGAGGTCTCTCGGGATGACTTCCGCATCCTCGCAGCCATCCCGGTCGGAGTCCTTATGCGTTACGCTGCAGCATATCTCTTCACAGACACGGCAGCAGCAGCACGTCGTGCATAGGACCCTTTGCCAGTGGATGTTCGCAGCCTGCTCTGTCGCGCGGCAAAATGACTGCACTGGCCTTTGCCAAGCCCCCTATTCCCCTGCCCTGCCTTAGCTCGACTTGCCTCCCCTCAGGTTCTCTTCATTGCAGACAAGGGTGTGCAGGCTGATCTTTGCCCAGCTTCCCTCAAAGGCGCTCGGCTGCGGCCCGCAGGTCGTACTCCGGCCTCCTGTCCCCCGCAATACGTGGCCCTGCGCTCGGCCAACGCCCGGACCCTGACAGCTCGGTCGTTGCATGCTACAATCGCCCTGCACTGCTCCAAGCTTGTGTGCTGCACCGACTGGCTTATGGGCTCAGATTCCTGGAGTGCTCCACCTGAGGTAGGCTGGCTTCGGGGTTCCTACTCTGCCAACATGGGCCTTCTGAAGCGCTGTCAGCGTCAGCAAGCCCGTGCAGGGCAGCACAGCCGTGCCTCTGCGGAGGCGGCCACCTCCTCTTCTTCGGGGATGGCTCTGCACCCTGCCGATAGGGAGTTTCTGGAGAGCACCTGTCCGGCTGTCTTCCTGCCGCCGCCGGAGCACTGGAAGCTTTCCCCGGCCGAGGTCAAGTTTGCGGGGTACGTCAAATTGGATGGAGAGCCACCTCCTCTTACAGTGTTTCTCCGGCCGGTTCTTGCACAACTGCGTGCCACCTCCAAGGTCAAGAAGCACCCGAGTGGCGAGGTTCCAGTGTTGACATCGAGGAGACCGAGGAAGTTTTGGTCGAAGAGGACACTCCGCCTGCATCCTCGGGGGCTGCACCAGCAAGGCTCGCTCCCACGCCGAAGGTGCGCTCTCAGCCGCCGGCTGCAAAGCCAGTCAAGGCCAAGTCCATGCCGAAGAGCGGGCGGGTGCCCATGCGGGTCCCTGCCTTCCCGGGCCCTGGTCTGCAGGACACTCTTCTCCGTGAGTCCGATCTGGCGGAGGGCACGGTGGTGGCGGTCACGGCAAACGCCATCCAAATGCGCCTGCAAGATGGCTCCTACGGTGAGCTCACGGTGCCGGGATCATTCCGCAAATCCTTCCGCGGCGGAGACTTGGTCAGGCAGATGGAGGTTGTGGCATGGTGCCTGAACAGCCCATCCTTCTGGCACTGACGCGCCCGGCCTTGGCGGTGGATGGGGTGGACGTCGACCTGTCCGCCATGGAGCGGCCAGAGAGCCAAGCGGCGGCCACCAAGAAGCCCAAGGCGTCTCGGACCTCCCGCTCACGCTCTCGGCACCGCCGCCGCAGCAGGTCACGACGCAGGTCAAGTCGGACACCGTGCTCGCCTGAGCCTACAACAGGCCCTGCCCTTGGAGCCTCGAGCACGTCGCCGCCGGGATCGTTGATCTCGAACTTTTTGTCCCCTGGCCACCTGGGCTCTGTACAGGCTGCTGGAACGGACCCTGAGGACGAGCGCTCTCCATCGACTCACCTGTCATACATGCAGTGCTGTGCTCGTAGCTCCCCATGCTTCTTGCACTTCCCCGAACCCCGCACTTGCTTCGGCAAACATCTCAGGGTAGCTCGATTTAGATGCAGCCCACTCAGGTCACGACATCGCCGTCTCCGTGCACGACTGCGTCTGCGCCGTTGCTGTTCAGCTCGGCACGGTGGCTGCCTTATTGTTGCGCCCCTCCTTGCTGTGTTCTCCCCGTGCTGCAGGCATGCGGTCGTCTTCCGGAGACCGCCGCACACACACCAATCCCAGTACTCGACATTACATGCTGTGCCCGGTCCCAAGTCCGGGCGGGGTAAACCTCTGATGCGCCTCACCTGGGCGCCATGGTTCTGCACCATGTTGTTCCATGTCATGTTCACCGGCTCTCAAGCTACCCTTGTTACCCCTGAGCCGAGGGTTGAGGGCACTGGCGGTCGCCATCCCTCAGAAGCCGTTCACGGGCTACCTTTTTTGTATCCTGCCGAGGCAAAGCCACAAGACCTCTTCATACACATAGGCTCGGCAAATCATGCATCCACCACTTCTATCCGGAAACGCGCCCTTCG